GAAGTTCTGGACCTGGACATGCAGTAAACTCTGTTGGAGAAAGTCAGTTAGTTGGCCTTGTGCCACGTTTCCACTGCAAGAAGATGACGTCGATAAAGGTCGGAAAATGGGAAATAGAACATGATAACGAACGTGATGCTCCCCAGTGAGTGTTGTAGTAATCGCATTTCCAAGAAAACGTATTCAAAATACATAAATATCCTATTGAAAATGCAGGATTTTTTCAGAGTACTTGGAAAAAACCTGGCTATGTGCACGCGAAGTCGCCGCTATTTTCTTCGATCCATGACCATATGTTGCAATGGCTGAGCAGGCTATGGACCGCGTCGCAACAGGCCAAGTAGCATATGATTGGAAGAAAAAAATAAAAAGGATTCGGCTCGTGGAACATGAAGTCGATGGAGTCGATGCAGGCTCATGAATAATCCAAAAGGAAAATGTGGGAAGCTTCTGGTTCCTTCGTTAAGGCACGCATGAACACTGAAATCTCCAGCTTCAGTTCCTGCAACATAGAAGGGTATGAAGCCGCTTCTCCCGGCGGTTTCATTCCCTTCCATATCAGCACCGGGAGTTTACCAACATAGCGGGGTGACCTTAAGATCTAAAGCTTCACACGAAGTAGTAAATGGGTGTACAGAGGTTACTTACCGACTTCAAACCACCGATCACTTAACGAGGAAGATCCACAACCAATAATTTTTTTTTTCTGGTGGTGTACATTATATGGGTATTCTGTAATCATGAGGACCTGAACTGGATACAATACCGGTTATTATCAATTTGGACCCTGTGGCGGCACATAATATATCTGTAAATATCCATAAATGAATCCGGTTATGGAAGAGTAGAAGTCACACCCGACACATAAGAGTTGAACACAAGACCCAAGATACGAGAAATGGTGATAACTGATTCGGTCTTCCAACTTGTCAAGTGTAACAAAACGGCAGGAAAGAAGTACCACTCGAAAAACAATCTGTTAATGCACTTGCACGAAGCAACACACGCTGAAACATTTGGGTCTATTTCTTTTTCCGCTGGGGTACGGAGGAAGTGTCAAGGTTCCATGGATTAATGATGGCTCCAGAACCGTATGGTCCTTGCTTTTCCTTCCAAAAACCCTTACGTTTTCAAAGATCGTAATAGGACATGTTGACTTCGTAGCGGCGCTCTTTGCCGAAAAGAGAAGATATCATCCGTGAACAAAATTCGGCATGCGTCTTACTCTGTGATTTACAGGGTCCTTCATTTAGGGTTGTAGTACTGTGAAAACCAATTTTAAAGGTTTTCCCTTTCTTAAACCCCAATCCCAACCCCAACCTCAACCCACCCCCCAAGTCCCCTCTTCTCTACGGAACTCACTAAAGTTAGGCCTACCATTTTTCTCTCAAAAGAAACTCAATGTTCGACCTACGGACCAATTAGGCCCATAAGGATTAATCCCTGGTCTTCGAGACCCCTTATTGAGTACGTGTAACATTAGACCGATTGCAGGTAATTTTCGAATTTCATGGACATTTTCAGTGCTGTCGGGAAACATTATTCTTACCCAGAGTTCCTCGAACCGTCTGGACTCGTTCGAGAAGAAAATGCCTTTAGATAGCATGATGTACAAGCTACCCGACAACATGTTAATTTAGGGATGTCTGGATGAGATATCTCCGTATTCCATCACATCCATCGGCCACTGCAAACCACCGCTTCAATCTCAGCTCACCCAATGTATTCAGCAGAATAATGTCTCCTACAGTAAAAAAGAAAAGAGCCAGACAACGATACTAAGGCCGAAGGAGCCATGAACCTGACTGACCAAGTAGCTGATGGTACAAATCCCGTTTGCATCAATTTTTTCATTCCCACTCCATTTAAAACAAGAAGTTTTTTCACCCAATGGATTTGCCTTCTGCACGCTACGGTCCTAGGAAATTAGGAATCCATTTCATTCATCCGATTTTATTTGTAACATATACCATTATCGTCAAACTCTTTGAGTCAAACCATTCCTGTAATGCTATTTTTGCTTGTGAGAAGTTATTGCTGGAATTATGCTATCTGCTTTAAGCTAGAGTGGAGATGACTAATTTCGGCCTAAAATGTCCCTGATACTGTTCTTACAGTTGTATTGTGTCCTAATGCGATCAATTTAACTTGCCACAATTTTCACATAAGTATTGTCTAATTCGAGTACTACGTTTTACCTTTCTCTATTTGTTTGCTTGCCTGGGGAAACAAAGCCCTCGTATTACCTACTCCCCACATCGAAAAATATATAAGCCAAGGTTGAAATAATTCACGAGTGAGAAGTTTCCTAAAGTCCATTTCTCCCAGTACTACTTGTGTACTGTGCCGTGTCCGTGTCTATTTTTCCTTTCATGAAACATTTGTGAAAACGGAAACATTTATATTAATTCAATGTTTTTCTTGCGTGAATACATATTTACGTTCATCATTGTTTTCCCAGTTTTGAACGTGAAAAAGTCTCATTCGGGTAATGTGACCCAGGACTGGTGTCCGAAAAATTAGCCAGGGTTCTCGACCGAGGAGGAGTCGCCCCTGTCGCCTTCCGATTCGAACCCTCTTGACTATGGCATGTGGTCGAACCTCGAGTCTCTGGCCAATTCCGAGCCTCGCCGCAGTTTGGATCATCGGAGACAAGATTTGGTTCGGATTTGTGACGACATTTCCATGAATTTGGTGAGGAACAGCGCCAACAACTTCGAGAAGTTGAAGGCCATATTCAAGGCCAAAGGTGCTATCTCTTATCCCTTTGTGCTATCTCTTTGGACGCCAGACGAGGGGGGGGAATCTCTCTACTATTGGAATCTTCTCCAAATNCGTGGCCCTCAAATGGTTGTATCGCCCCACTGGAATTCTAGATTTCGAAGTGTGCTTCATCATTTACCCACATGTCTCCAATGAATGGCTGAAGTTTGGTGGCTAGTGAATTGCTCCTTCTAGGTGTTCCAATAATTTTTTTTTCTGGTGGTGTACATTATATGCGTATTCTGTAATCATGAGGACCTCAACTGGATAAAATACCGGTTATTATCAATTTGGACCCTGAGACGGCACAGAAAATATCTGTAAATATCCATAAATGAATCCGGTTATGGAAGAGTAGAAGTCACACCCGACACGTAAGAGTTGAACACAAGACCCAAGATACGAAAAATTTTGATAACTGATTCGGTCTTCCAACTTGTAGTCAAGTGTAACAAAACGGCAGGTAAGAAGTACCACTCGAAAAACAATCTGTTAATGCACTTGCACGAAGCAACACACGCTGAAACATTTGGGTCTATTTCTTTTTCCGCTGGGGTATGAAGGAAGTGTCAAGGTTCCATGGATTAATGATGGCTCCAGAACCGTATGCTCCTTGCTTTTCTTTCCAAAGACCCTTACGTTTTCAAAGATCGTAAAAGGACATATTGACTTCGTAGCGGCGCTCTCTGCCGAAAAGAAGATAACATCCGTGAACAAAATTCGGCATGCGTCTTACTCTGTGATTTACAGGGCCCTTCCTTTTGGGTTGTAGTACTGTGAAAACCAATTTCAAAGGTTTTCCCTTTCTTAAACCCCAATCCCAACCTCAACCTCAACCCACCCCTCAACTCCCCTCTTGTCTATGGAACTCACTAAAGTTAGGCCTAGGTCTCACCGACAGACTGTCTTCGGGTCAGGCATAGGCCTACCATTTTTCTCTCAAAAGAAACTCAATATTCGACCTACGGACCAATTAGGCCCATAAGGATTAATCCCTGGTCTTCGAGACCCCTTATTGAGGAAGTGTAACATTAGACCGATTGCAGGTAATTTTCGAATTTCATGGACCATTTCAGTGCGGTCGGGAAACATTAAGCTTACCCAGAGTTCCTCGAACCGTCTGGACTCGTTCGAGAAGAAAATGCCTTTAGATAGCATGATGTACAAGCTACCCGACAACATGTTAATTTAGGGATGTCTGGATGAGATATCTCCGTATTCCACCACATCCATCGGCCACTGCAAACCACCGCTTCAATCTCAGCTCACCCAATGTATTCAGCAGAATAATGTCTCCTACAGTAAAAAAGAAAAGAGCCAGACAACGATACTAAGGCCGAAGAAGCCATGAACCTGACTTACCAAGTAGCTCTTGGTACAAATCCCGTTTGCATCAATTTTTTCATTCCCACTCCATTTAAAACAAGAAGTTTTTTCACCCAATGGATTTGCCTTCTGCACGCTACGGTCCCCTGAAATTAGGAATCCATTTCATTCATCCGATTTTATTTGTAACATATACCATTATCGTCAAACTCTTTGAGTCAAACCATTCGTGTAATGCTATTTTTGCTTGTGAGAAGTTATTGCTGGGATTATGCTATGGGCTTTAAGCTAGAGTGCAGATGACTAATTTCGGCCTAAAATGTCCCTGATACTGTTGTTACAGTTGTATTGTGTCCTAAGGGGATCAATTTAACTTGCCATAATTTTCACATAAGTATTGTCTAATTCGAGTACTACGTTTTACCTTTCTCTATTTGTTTGCTTGCCTGGGGAAACAAAGTCCTCGTAATACCAACTCCCCACATCGAAAAATTTATAAGCCAAGGTTGAAATAATTCACGAGTGAGAAGTTTCCTAAAGTCCATTTCTCCCAGTACTACTTGTGTACTGTGCCGTGTCCGTGTCTATTTTTCCTTTCATGAAACATTTGTGAAAACGGAAACATTTATATTAATTCAATGTTTTTCTTGCGTGAATACATATTTACGTTCATCATTGTTTTCCCAGTTTTGAACGTGAAAAAGTCTCATTCGGGTAATGTGACCCAGGACTGGTGTCCGAAAAATTAGCCAGGGTTCTCGACCGAGGAGGAGTCGCCCCTGTCGCCTTCCGATTCGAACCCTCTTGACTATGGCATGTGGTCGAACCTCGAGTCTCTGGCCTATTCCGAGCCTCGCCGCAGTTTGGATCATCGGAGACAAGATTTGGTTCGGATTTGTGACGACATTTCGATGAATGTGGTGAGGAACAGTGCCAACAACTTCGAGAAGTTGAAGGCCATATTCAAGGCCAAAGGTGCTATCTCTTAAAAAATTGCACTTTCGTTTGTTACACTTGACCTGGACCACCCTGAATAATGACGTCATGAACGCGCCGTTCGCAGTACACGATATTTCAATGCAAAAGGCGACGCCATATGCACAAAACACACAGTCCATATGCTATCCAAAGAGGAACCACATTGGCCTTCAATTGCCCTTGTAGGCGATGATGGAGTGGACGTACCTCTCGGTTCTCTTCATCCACCTGATTCCCGGGGTGATCCCGATGGATCGAACCCTGGTATACCGGAAGGAATTCCCGGAAAAGAGATATAAAACAGTGGCAATGGAATACCATGGGCAAACTTTGGGACGTTGTGCTTTGAAATGTGTCTACGCTGATCCTCAAGCTGAATGTGAAGTTTTCAATTTTCGACAATCTGACCAATCCTGTCAGCTTATCGTCCCTGGAAATTACGAAATGGTCCCGGCCGAAGGCTATTTGGCCTACACACGCCGTGAGTCCCGTTGAATCTCTCGAGTCGCAGATGACCTTTCTGACTGAAGTGAGCGATTGTACTTTCCTATATGCATCACCCTCAGAATCTTAGTGCAGTTGTTTGCTCAGATATTTAAATTTTCCCACAACATTCTGGAATAGAGTAAAAAAAGATGATTTGAATAACTTGCGTATTTATTTTGTGGAATATCTTCCACAAAATAAATACACAAGGTTAACAATACATTAGGCCTCAGTCAGGCCTCATCGAATTGTGCTTGTATTGAGGGGACTACGATTATTTTGATGACACAAGCACATGTTACTTGTAAATACCCATGACCCACTCAACAAGTCTTACGACATCTTCATCACATGCAATGTGTGAAGAAAATATCGGAAAGGCCAGAGGTGCGAATTATTTAACACCCACCATTGTATGAATTAAGGCGAGGGCATCTAATCCAGTATATATGGACGATCGTGAGTAACTGCCAGGTTCAAGAAAATTCTAGCCAGGTTTTAGAAAAGATGACAGGCTGAAGCTTGGCACACTAATAGCTGTTAGATTGCTGACCTCAGAAAATTCCGTCTTCTGCGGTAGGGAACACGTTTCAGGGGAGGGGGTGGGGGGGGGGGTGTGGGTTGGGGACTGATTTCGTAGGCCTTGGCTTAACCCGGGGTATGATGCCTAGACTTCCACCACTCTCCTACTCTCTTCCTTCAAAGAAACGAGAACATGGGCAGCTGTTGGGCCGCTCAACCCGGTTGTGTTGCCGAATGGATAAAGAATTCCGACTTTGGGGGCACATTTCGAGAGGGAGAGATTTCGTAAGCCTTGGCGTAACTCTCGGATAGAGGCTCGGTTTAATACCACTATCGTACACTTCCTTCCTTCAACGAAACGGAGAGATGGATATATATGGGCGGCAATAGCATAATGACGTATTTTCTTGGACAAATGTATATAAACTAAGAAGAGTTCTAAAAGTACTTCTTAAGGAGTTCTTCCTTGCACTTCTTGTATTTAAACATAGATATGAATATAACTATAAAATCCCCATAGTCTACAAATACATATTGTATTAGAAACGCTGAAGTAATGAGCTCATGTGTCTGCTACAATATGTTTTTGGACATTTATAAGTAAAGGAGAGTGCGACGACCACAGGTTTGAGTTGAATGCAAGATAGGAACACTCAGTGACACCATGAACTTTTACCTTGTGATCCTCATGCTGGAAATCATTTGACGTCATTATGAACATTTTCGAAGAAACTTTATTTTTAGGTGCCAGAGGCGAAGGTGCGAGATTTGCAAAACCCGGTAGGGGTTTGGAGTTAAAGCTTCTTTAGGGGTATGCTTCGAAAAATGAAGCTTTAAATGCATTAGTAATTTCCTTTGATCATAATGTGCCGAAGTCGCGACCTTGCTAGTATGAAACACAGCAGGACTTGCATGATATCATTTCCTACGGATCCTTACTTTAGTTATTGCTTGTGTACCCCGCTGTAAACGTTTCAGTATGCGCATGAGTCACCTTAACATCAGGCCCCTGGATCTCTGATCCGATGCCTTCAACTGACGATTTGGACGATACCATTAAAAGACGTTGATGCCTGAAAACCAGCGTAAATGAGATATTGCAATATGGCACGAAATGGGGGCGTCAGGAATGGTGATGAAAGACGAAGATTTTGAGTATTTAGCATTTACGAGCCCAACGGTAAAAAGCGATCAAGACGATTCGTAGGCAAATTCTAGTATCCTATATATGAATAAAAACCCACGTGAAACTGCCTGTCCCTCAGAATCTGAAAAGGTGTCATTCTTTCTCACCCAAGAGCCTAAAAGCATCCGGACACCCAGTACCACGTTTACAAAATTTCCTCAAAAAAATACGTTCTTCCACCCTGTAGTTTCATGCGCGAGTGCGCATCCAATGATGAAAAACGTGAACGTGACGTACGAGGGATGGGATGGAGATTACCCGGCGCCATCGGGTGCGAGCGTCGTCTATACCTGCCCGCATGCCGCGAAGTTCACAGATGGTTCGATCAGACATCATGCCACCTGCTCTGCTCTCCTCCAAACATCCTGGAAGACTTCCTTCAACGGCAAGCATGTCCGATGCCAAAGTGAGTCGTTTCAGCCTCATCAACCACACACTACTAAATAATTTTAATTCAACCACATTCAATGTACTTCCTTGACTGATCGTTTATCAAATGTCATGTTGACGTAATGGAGACGAAAAGAGAATTGATGCGATTATCATGTTTTATGATATTTGAAACTTGTATCTGACAACAGGCGTTACCGATTAATGAGTGGATTTCCTTAGCTGGTTTTGCCCATCAGAAGGGAGCGTGAGCTCATTAGGATTATACTCGGACATCGTTTAGCGAGCCACACTCCTTGCCCTTGATGCGAGACCATATTGGGGTTTATCTGCTTTCTTGGACGCTAGAGGTCCTTTTAGAAGTCTGTTGTCATTAGGAAGAAGGTTAAAATTAATGAGATTGCAATGAGGAATGGTCAGGACAGTGCACGAAATGTCGCAACGTCTGGGCACGAGGGAACATTTTAAAATGACCCCATGCCATGCATCAGACTTCTTGGGAACGTTGCGTTGTCACATTCAAACGAAATTGCTAAATTATCTTCATCTCGTTGCATGTTTCACATGAAAAGTGTTTTTTTTTAATGCTATTTGCATGAAATATCATCGCAAAATCTGTATTTAGTGCATTTCACTTATTGTCCTCGATCATCTTTGTCTTAAAATTTTTGGAGCGTCGGTGTGTAATTCCTAGAGGGGATAGCTTATCCCGAATGCCGACTGACGAAGATGGGGAAGGAATACATCGGGACGGTGAACACGACAAAGACCGGAAAACCCTGCCTTAGATGGAATTCCCCTGAGAGTACATCATTCAAGACCAAAAGAAATGGTTTCGATGTAAACATAATATACGAAGAGCACTTCCTGAACCAGGACCCATCTTCCCATGGGAATTTCTGCCGGAACCCGACGTCGATCGCAGAGCCCTGGTGCTTCGTCGATGACGGCTCGAATTGGGAACTGTGCGAAATTCCATTTTGCCTTGATCTGAGTGAGTTCCTAACTGATAAGGAATTATGTTTAATAACAGAATAACATATCTGAAATTCCAAAGAAAACCAGGTTTGTGCTCCTTTCGCAATTTACGAGTTATTTTTCAATACTTCTGTCGCTACGATAGCAGTTTTTCACCATTTGTTTCCAAATTCGTCCAACTACAGCCATCTGAAAGGAATTTAGATTTTGCTATGAAATGGAGGCTAGATGTTCTATTTTACCTCCACCAGTTCTACATCCCTTGTGGGAAAAATGTGTGTTTAGAGCTGTGGGGATACATATATTTGCCTTCCAACATGGGCATTCACTGTTCCATAGCAGTTTTCATGAAATCCTGAGGAAGAAGTCGAACGATTATCTTCAAATGGTATTTTCATCCATTCTGTCTGAAAACGGTACGAGTCCACGGAAGTTGCGCTTCCAAAGTCAGATCAATCTCACCTATCCATCCGTGGGGAGAGTCTAATCCTCAACTAAAAAAATACCTGGGCATAGGATTCAACCAACGCTGTGAATATATATCGTTCAGGTCACCTATGAAATAATCTATGTTCTTCCTGACTAGCATGCCTAAAGCTTGGTTGCGAACATACTTAAGTCTTGTAGATTTTCCCATCATTTCAATATTTACCAATCCTTGGACTTGAATAGGAATTTTCAGGAAACTTAGGATTGAAAATAGCATTGTAAGCAATGCAACGAACCGCCTTTTTGGGGCTTTAAAAGGGGGAACATGAATCGGAAAGAGATTAGTCAAGGAGTTTGGTGATGGAAGTTTGGGTCAGTGGAGAAAGGAGGGGGAGGGTGGGTTCTTGAGACACGCGGGACTTCTCTGGAAGCATTCTACTATATGTGCGTTCATTTCATGAATTGCTGGCACGGGTTCTTCTCGGATGATCACTTCAATTGAGTAGAGGAAAATCTTATCTATGCCTCCTCTGCTCATATGGTATATTGGTGATGAGCCAGGCACATAACTGACAGAAATCGGGAAATGTTAATCGCCTTACCTCGCAATACCGCCGAAACACCTGTCTATTGGACCTTTTGCCATTAAATTATTTCGTTCACCTCTTGAATCCAGTCAGTTTTCTCAGTTTAATTTGTTTTCGCTATTATGCCCTATTTGAGTCATTCACAAGGCATCGAAATTTTTAATATGACTGGATTTTGATGCTGACTCTTGCAAGGTCAGAGGTAAATCTCGAATCTGGACTATGGGTGAAATCAGGGCAATTTGTTTTCGGTCTCTTTCACCTCATGTTGAAAGTATCTCTTATTTCAATGCCATTCCTTTCCCTGATGCTTGATGAATCTCAGGTTCTACAGCAGACTCAAAGTTGGAGCAAACATCAACCCAGTCAGTGGCGTCTTTATCGTCCAATATTTCGCAGTCATTATGCGTGTTATATGCAGTATATTGCCGTCTGCCACTATTGTGCGTCCATTAGCTTCAATATGAGGAAATAAAAGAAAAGCAGTATTTAGAGGCCAGTGGAAGTTTTCTTGACTTCATTTCGCAGACCAGCAATTTTGACACATAATTCAAATGATCAAATATTGCAATAAAATCGTTTTTACATCTATCTCTCCCTTTTGTCGCAGTCATGCCGTCGTGGATGGTAAAATGAAAACAATCATGTACCTGCTACGAGATAGAAGAAAAAAGAGGAAAGCAGAAATTTACAAGTTTTCAACTTTAAATCCTCCGATTTGAACCTCTGCCAACAATTTCTTATTATGTTAAATTCCATCGGCACTTCGAATCCATGCGGATATGATATTGGGTGCAGTGATTTGATGACATTCTCCCGAACGAGTGAAAGAATGCCCGTTTCACATGTAAATCAATACATCCTAGATGTCAAGAGATTGCGTTTATCCCTATATTGTATGGGGTTGCCTTTTTCAGGGCCACCAGATTGCAAGATGACTCAAAAGGGGGCGGAATATATCGGAACAAAAAGCAAAACTATTTCGGGCTCTCCGTGTCTGCCATGGATCGGTCTCCAAAGCCCGATTTCGGTAGAAATGTTTGCTCTGAGGAAGCTGGTATTCCCTGATTCGCTCACGAAAGATCACAATTTCTGCCGGAACCCGACCGGGAAGCCAGGTGGCCCGTGGTGCAAAATTCTCGGTCCCACGGGCTCGACGGACGGTTGGGAATACTGCGACGTGCGTTCCTGCGCCGTGGAAGAAACGGAGGAGGCGTGTGAGGCGGAGGGCCGATGTCAGTCGGGTGAGCTTATGGCTTTAAGAGGTGGCTATGAATTAGTATCAGGAATGTCGATACCGAATGATGAGTTCTTCATGCGACAACTTTCAGTTCCGTTTTCCAAAAAATGATTCGATTTTGGCCTCGTTCGTCCTTTTTCGTCTTAGACTGAGGCGCTATGGAAAAAATTCTAACACGTTCCCAAGTCTAATTCCATTTCGTTTGAGGATTCCTACAATTAAGTGAATGTTCTGAAATGCATGTATCTATGTTATGCATTCCACATAAATACATTTTTAGACTTTTTCTCCATTTGGTTTAGTCATAAAAAATTTAAAGGTGCCATTGAAATACTTTTTTTTTCCTTGGTTGTTGTATTCTTCACACCACAAATGGGTAACCAGTACATTCGATTGCTTTTGTCCATGTCCATCTTGCGAGTAGTGATCATGTCGTTGTCTGAAGCTATCGTTCCAGCAAAGAAGCGGTTTCCCCCGATTGTAAGTGCGCACTAACTCTATATAAATGCGCGATTCCGCAATGAATACCGCAGTTACGAGGTACCTCGTAGATTCTATCGTGCCGTTCCGAAGCCGTCCCATCGTTTAGTGAGTCTCCGAGGACGAGCGGGAATTTATAGATATGTTACTTGCGCTTTAAATGCTTTTGCGGAGAAAATTACAAGTACCATATTAATGTCCAACAAATGGGTGAACCAAAAAACTAGACATTTTCACGGTTTTTCTGATATAAACATTCTAATAGCGGTGATATATATTATTTGCATTTGGCATTTTTTGATCTGTAAGTCGATAGTTTATGATCTTTATTCTCTATGAAATCTTTTTTCCCTCATGATGTGAATTTTTCTCGATTTTTCTCGCATTCGAGCGCCTTCTAAAAACATGAGGACTTCGACAGGAGACGGAGTTGAGGCATCCCGCATGTATCCGGAATGCCGAATGACGCCGATGGGAAAGGAATACAGAGGAACCCATAGCCAGACGGAAACTGGAGAGAAATGCCTGCCTTGGATGGATTTTTTCATTGAGGGATCTCTCCCGGATGTCCTCGTCTCTCATCTCCCTTACCACGAACGCCTAGCAGTACCAAACGATATGACAGAGGCCATATATGACTTCATCAAAAACCAGGACCTGAACTATTGCCGGAATCCTTCGAGGGCTGAGCGGCCATGGTGCTTTATAAGAAATGGTTCCAGCTGGGAATACTGTGATATCCCCTTATGTCACAGCCCTAAAGGTCTCGGAGTCTTTGTCTTTCGAGGGTCTCACCATTCATAATGTGACTATTACGATATTTTTATGGTCAACATGTAAGGGCAAAGCCTAATCAGATGATAACTTTGAGTATGACGTGAGGTGACGCGAGTATTGAAATGAGAATTATTGTAGCGGAATCGCTTAGGAATTTTAAGCGTTATTGTATCAAGAAAATGTTGTTCCACTGGGAAATTACTTTGAGTCGAGTATTCACTCAGTTGAGGTTCAAGATGAAAATAAAATCGGGATGTTCACGAGTTCCCATACTTAAATGTATGGTTTACCCCCAAACATGGATATTTCTCATAATGGACTAATTCCTTGTTCTGTTGACCCTCAGAGCCTCTGGAATGCAGATTGACTGATGAGGGATTGGAGTATGCAGAGTTGAAGAACGCGGATGCGGATGGCAGGATGTGTCAACCCTGGTTTAGTAGGTCAAACAACAAGCGATTTTCTCTCCTGAATTTGCTGGCATTACCCGACCAAAGCGTGGACAGTAGTCACAACTACTGTCGCAATCCTAATGTGGACCGCGGCGGTCCCTGGTGTTTCACTGAAGAGGGAACTGGCGAAGGCTGGCGACAGTGCGGGATCCTCTTCTGCTTTGAAGAGTATGAGCGTTCCGCTCTCGACGGTATGCTTTGCGGCTACTTCATATTGATGTCATACTGATGTATATGGAAACGCTCTGGCTAGCTCGGCGACCCATGCCCTCAAACAGTACAACATACGACAAAAAATACGAGTACATCTAATACAGGGAGACCGGAAAGTTCGGAGACTTGTGAATTTTTTTCAGGATTTTTTTTTTAAGTGTGAGGCTTTATTTCTTCCACGAGTCTAGCTAAATTTTTTTGCATCGCAAATTTGACTCCTCCCGGTCTAGATATGGCATCGAAACCCAGTCGAGAAGCTGTGATTCACATGTTTCAGCAAGGTCATTCACCTGTAAAGATCATCAAGGAGCTGTTACTGCCACGATCCACTGTGGACAAAGCCATTGCCCGCTACAAAGAACTTGGTACAACTCAGGATCGACCCAGAAGTGGCCGTCCCAGTGTCTTCAAGGATCCTGCTCTTCGAAAGCGTATCAAACAGCTTCTTGATCGAAACCCGGAACGGAAGTGCCGATGTCTTGCAAAGCACTTGAAGATCAAGCGCGAAACTCTGCGTTCCTATCTTAGAAAGAAGTTGGGCATTTTCACTTTAACACGTTGACGACCAGCCTATTTTTGCTTGTCCGCCGCGTGGGACCACGCGCATTTTTTTTTGTAAAAAAATGCGTCCTGCCATCAGGAGGCATGGTCCCAGAAAACATTTTTTTTTGCCGAGTTTTTTAAAAAATTTTTGGAATTTGTTATCAGTAATTACGAAATCATAATCTTCTGGAACGTTCTCAACAGTTCCAGAGGGTATTCATGGAAAAAAAATCTGCATCCTGGCATCAGAACGCATTGTCGCCAATGTGTTAAAAAAAAAGAGTAGTTCAGGTGCTTACGAAGAACAAGGAATTCGCAAAAACATGACTGCTGACGCACTAAGCTCAAATGTCAAGCGTCAAATTTCCTAAATATTTTTTAGGTTCACATTTATTGGGGATGTAATGTTTTCGAGTAATTGCTCATATCCCACCGAATCGGGCTTAAAGAGAAAAGTAGCTGCCGCCCGTATAATGAGCGTGATGTTGATTTAAGGAAAAATTCAACTTTTGTTGTGCGTCTCTCCACAGCACAGCTTTTGGGTGGGTCGCTTTTACAAATACATTTTTTTCTGCCAGCAAAAAGGAGAAACATAACAGGTTGAAACTGGGTGTCATGGAGATCCCTGAGCCTTCATTTCAAAGGAAAAATAATATTCGTTAAAACCCATTTGGCCACTCTTTTTTAGTGCAATTTTTTTTTGATCCAACGAAACAGAGGCAGAAAATTTAAAATTCCCTCATAAGTACCTGTTTGACGGCTGAGTACAGGAAAAATCCTGCTTTTGAAATAAGTCTCCTTATCATAGATAGGAGGGCATTATTTCAAAATGTATTCTCCACCCTTACAAAAAGGGACACAAGAAAAGATTTTAAGTTGTGCACACTAGAAATTATTTAAGTAGTGATTTTGATAAAAATCAAGACTTTCGTCCCCATAAGTCACGTATTTCAATAGGGACGTACTTTAAATACGTGTTTGTCATTTCCCAAAGAATAAATGAATTAACCACTATTAAAGGTAATGGAGCGTCGAAAGCCCGACTATAGCGAGTTTGTTTACCCGAAGGGCAAACAAACTCGCTAGTTATAATATGGAACGACAAAGGGCTGCCTCGTGCCCGCCTTTACGCCGGACTGCCCTGGGAAGTCGCCCATACCTCAATGCCCTGATCTCACTCAAAAATGCAAAAACAGTTGATTGTAGTCAAGCCAAGCAGAACTCTCTGTACTGCGATTTATGTTCCCAGAATACACCGATATATTGAAATTGCGTGCATTGTTATAATAAGCTTAGAATCCAGACTGTCGTTTATTAGCATTTAACAGACTGATATTAGGAAAGGCATGTTTGGGTAGCATGAGTGACCTAGACTATCAAGGAAAGTTTGTACGGTCACTGGAGACCCTTGGCGACCCAAATTTGGGTCGCGACCCCGCGACTAAGAACAATTGACTTAGAGCGTGATGGTGAACATGTTTGACACGTCCATGTGTGCCAAGCGTACGGAGGTCAATGCGTAATAATTTGTACACTGCATTCATTGGTGATTGTCGATAAGATGTTTGCAACCTTCTCCTATCTAGTGTATGTAGTGCTATAGGTGGCACAATTTTTCATTTTCGGTGACCCTCTTTTTGGTCCAGCCATTATTAAAGCCATTATTAAAGCGAAGGAAAACGTCAGTAAAGAAGGGGAAATCATTGCACCTCCTTCCATGTTTTGCATTTGCAAGAGATTTGTCGTCAAATACCATTAAAGGGCTGCAATAGGTAACAATTATGATTGGGCTTGATGAGAAAAATCTTGACAGAAAAAGCAATATCTGGCACGATCCTTCCCTCTGGGTGGAAGGACATGGTTGGACAGGTTAAACGAGGGGGGAAAAAACCCTAACAAAAGAATCAATGTGGAAAAGTTTATCGACGCTTGACTAGCAGTTAAGGGTGGAGGACATCTCATCAAGACTTGGCCATAACCGAAATTTAGCATCTTTGCAAGCGTCTAGTGTGAAACCCAATCCTGGTAACAAGCCAACCGCTCACGGACAGAGAGAGACTGACAGGCAAGACAGGCATAAAAGTGGACTCCACCATTTAAGAAAGAGGCCCCTGATAAGTATCATTAGGTTGCCAGATATACCTATTTGAGTTAGTATGCGACTTTATGTTTTTTCAACCTACAGACCACAATCGGCACTGGCACCGGCCGATAGTTATGAGACCAAAATTTTGTTGGCCTCCAGTCAAATGTGACACTCGGTACAGTCGTGTTACATTCCTGATATTCGTGTTCACACTATATTTTGGTGATTATTTTGCGTGTGAATGAAGCAGCAATTGTGCCAGTGTCATGTATCCTACATAATTAGCATGATCCTATGGAGTAAAAACTGTGTCTAATCCTTTGGAAAACGATATCTCGAAAACTTAGAGCGCACCAGGCAGGCAAATGATTGCCTTAGGTGATTTGACTTTCTCGGGTGAAATACGACAGGGAAACGGGCGGATGGATACCCGGAGTGCTTGCAGACCGCGATGGGAAAGGAATACGCGGGGACGACGAGGACGACGGAATCCGGGAAGCCCTGTCTCCGATGGGATTCTCGGCCCTATGGAACACCTGAGGACTTCGACCCGAATATACGCTATGAAGATCATTTCCGATTCGGCAATGCCACATTGCATCAGGATTTCTGCAGGAACCCGGCGTTGAAGAAGCAACCATGGTGCTTCGTCGCCGACCCAGCCATCAAATGGGAATTCTGCGAAATCCCACCCTGCCCCAACCGCCCAAGTGAGCTCGTCCTTACCAATAAGCAAATGTTCCATGTTTCAAAGGGGTCATGCGATTGAAAAGGAGCGATACTCACTGTAGATACACTTTTAGGGCTCGAAAAAAGATTGTTGACAGTAAAAAAAAAGTAATGTCAATCTATGCGTGAAGAGACAAAAATGACTACAATGAATTGCATAACTTTACCAGAGATAATGAGCTAGTAACCGGTTGTTGATCGCATGCATTCTAAAATTCTATTCATGATTACTCACATATTAAGTTTCGAAAAGTCTTCTTTTCAGCGCTACAAACTTCTCAGTCTGAATAGAAAATTTACTCCTCCAAGAGAACCGCAAGAAATGTTATTTTTTCCTTGAATGTCAATTCAAGTCTTACAGGCTACTTTTTCGCAAGGAAGATCGCGCGTCCCCAACAGGACATGAGTCCCGTGGGATGACACATAATATACTGTATTGACTCAATCAACGGAAGGTGTACCTTAATGGGTCCAATATTGTGCTCATCTGGCATGTCTGTGATTACTGGATCGCAGTATGCACATATTCTAATCTCTTCCTTGGAAAGGTATAGGTTTTCTGCATCCTAATTGCTCTTTCCATCAGACAAGATGGAATGCAAATGGACGTGGAAGGGAGAGGAGTATGCAGGAACTGAAAATCGAGCGGCATCAGGGCGTTCGTGTCTGCCTTGGAGGAAATCTGAACTGCTGGGGCTCCATTGGCCGAGGTTCCCGGAGGACGTGAGAAGCAAAGATCATAACTTCTGTCGCAATCCGACTGGGGATAAGAACGGGACCTTTTGTCTTGTTGAAACAGGCACATTGAACTTGAATGAATTTGAAACATGTGACATCCCTTTCTGCCCTTTCCACTACCTCTACTAACCCCTTCATTGGCTTGTTTTCAGACACAAAGTCTTGGGCTGGTCTGACTTTCATTTATGAATTTTTATGGTTTTTTTGTGTGATATTTTTCAAAACAGTCCTTGATACGATGGGGAGATTTCCACAATTCACAAATTCCACCAAGTCTCATTCATGCCTGAGTAGATCTTGCATATTCTAGTAGGGAACTTATTGCACTGTATCGGAGAAATTTGTGCTGGGGTTTATCGGTATGGCTCACTTTTCCTTGGCCTCCCTCCTGATGATCTGTGTGTCTTGTGAATTCCAAGTGTTTCCCTAACAATCTTCATCCGGAATTCCAATATTTTCATTCTTTTCTAATTTATTGCATTGTAAAGCACTGAATCATTAAGAACACTAATGTCCATGAAGTGCACACGAATTTGTATCATTACCAACGATCAGTTTCATCTATGCATAATTCAGCTTGGTTTGTTGATAGAGCTCGTCTACTCCACCCATATTTCATTTGTAATTTACAACCATTAACGCTTTTTGTATTGGATCATTGGTTTTCCTGTCTACTTTACCTGTTTCCATAACTTCAGTAGAATCCATTTTGTGAGCATTTACACATCCTATTTATCGTGCAATTTCATTGTCAGCAAGCCCTTCCTACGAGGATGGTCAGTGCCAGTAACTCCAAAGTCCTTTTCATACAGTTCTCTTTACAGCTCGGGACTAGCGAACTACATATCTACATACCTGTATCCCTTTCCAAGTATGTCATCTCTGTCGGCTAACTTGTTCCCAGCCATGTCCTTCTTCCTTCTTCCCGGTGTGCACACAAAAATCAATTGCATACTCTCTTTCCACCTCGCAAAGCATGAACATTTTGCTCTTTTCTTAGAAATATACAGTTGCATTACAAGTATATATTTCTAAAGCATAAGGCTTCATCTACACTACAGTAATGTCTTACCTTGCAAAGTAAGATGTCGTGAAAATCTATCTATATGTCCCATAAACATCGCGAGAGAGAGGGAAATTTGAACGACGAGACCAGCTCGTCCTCACCAGTGTAGGAGAATGCCTCGTCGTTGTAGGGCAATGGAAATGTTCTGATGTCTATGAATTGCTAGTTGCATTCAGTTGTCCATGTTCGATAAAAGCTTTCCTTTTCTGTCATGTCTGCTTCACCTGACCAAACTGCAAACACGATAGCTCCAGCTTTTGCTGTCAAATTGTTTCATATTTATTTTCCTGATTATCATTTCTGGTGGATAATTTTTTATTTTGCTTTTTTCACCGTCCTATTCTCCTACTCTCTACGGCCATCAATGGGATAAGGACGGAGTGACGGGCAAGCATCGAATCAAAACTTGTCGTATTTGGTTTAAGAATTCTTAGGAATGACTTCATAAAGGCGTCATGCCGTACAGAGAAAAGCACTAAGCATTCCGGGAATAAACGCTTCTCTCAGTGAAGCAGCGCGTTCTCATGACTTCGAAATTCTTCTGGGGTGTTTAGGCTGTTATCTCTTTGGTTTTGGTAATTGAATAATTTTAGGGGAACATTCCACATCTTCCTTTTTTCAAGGTACAAATCAGAACATTTCGAAATGGCATGCAAACCAAGTGAAGGCTTTTTCTTCAGTTATTGTCAAATTACATGATGCTGAACACTGACGTGATTCTCTCTTTCGGAAAGAGTCTCACATCAAGAGCCTCGTGACGTCCTGGAGACATCCTCAGTCGAATGCTTTGTCCAATCTCATATGGAACACATTTGTATCTACAAGAGAAGTTCAAATTGCATGCCCTGGAGACCGAAACATATGCCGACGCGATAGAGGAACGATTTCCTTACGCAATGGAGGGTGCAGGTGTGAGAGGTCCACTTTCATTGCACATATTGCGTGAACGTTGCGTATTAACCAAAATGTGGTCATAACATATGAGACATCTTGAACATCTCGAAAGTGACGTTCTTTAGACAGTCTATGGTTGCACGTACTAAAGCAGCACGGTCGATATCACAAATTACTCATGGACAGCACAACTCCGTTTCAATCTCAGCTCATCCCGTGAATTCAGCGCAATAATGTCAATGTCAGACAACGATTCTAAGGCCGAAGAAGTCATGAATCTGATGTAAATCCGACACAATGCACGGCAACATGGGGGATGGGTTCGGAGTTAGCACTCTAAGTCTAAATGAAAGACAGCTAGTTTCATTTTTAATGGCGAAAGGGCGCTTCAAAAGCTACAAAAACACACTTTTCATGATGTATAAGTCAATATTTTAATATTAGTTTGTCTTTTTCCTTCAACCCCCCCCCCCTCAGGAGTGGCTACCCAGGGGATAGTGAGGGAGGGGGGGGGGGAATCGGAATGGAATTCACATGTTCATTAAGCGAGACTATTCCGTATCTTCGGCAACCACGGCGAGTTGGGACTTTAAATTTACCGCAGCGATTCCTTGTTACGAGGTCATGAATCTTGCCTAATATCGTTCTTCTAAATGCACCCTGCGAGGAGTACGAAGAGATTGAATTTTGTGTCTGGGAGGGGTTGAAGAAGGGGAATGGATGCCTCCGCGACTATTTATTTCGACTTATGGCGTATGTCCCATTCACGGAAAGAAAAAGATTGTAGGCCTACCGTTATGTAGATTATAGATATTTGACTGCATTTGACGTGCGAATACTGATTACATCATTCTCATTTAGAACATAATGGAATGACTTGCATTTCAAATCACAATACGGACCCGTGGAAGACTTTTCACGACCTAGGCCATTGGTACGATACTGCCCGGCCTGCGAAGTCCTCTTCAACAAATGCGTTTTTTGGAAAAGGGTAAAAATTTTGAACCTAAAGTGACCCCCTCTTTGGTTCCAATAAATATTTCTTTCTTCACTTACAAAGAGTTTAATTTTGAGAACTTATTTTATTTCCGGGCTTTCTTCCAACATGAAAAATTATTATATTTGTGTTGAAAATGATTCTTTCCAACGCCCTTTTCCTCACCACAAATTCATAACATTTGCTGACATTGTGGTTCTAAACATACGCAATCTTCCACAGAGCTGTCGAAAACACAGAGGCTGAGAGATCTCTTACATGTTTCTACGAGGAATGAAATTTCCGTGTTGTGTATTCTCTGCTTCTTGAAAGTGTTTCCCGATCGGGTGGAATGCTCCTGTATCTGCTCCAAAATGACTTCCCTATAGGCCTCACGGGCGTCAGATAAAATTTGCATAGAGTTGTCTTGGTCACTGCAAGTGGCACAGACAAGTATTTTTGCCGATGGAGGTTAAGCGGAACGGTGGTGGGCTTACTACTCCTCGCCGAGGGGGGGGGGGAGGTGGATGCAGTTAAAAAGGAGTTAGGGGGCTTGAACCAAGCTTTGGGGACTGAACTCCCCCCCCCCCCCAGCCCCCCTCGCTACGCCACTGGTCACTGGTACGGGTGTTAGATAGTGGGAAGAAGCGTTCCCCGAGCAATGGGAAGGTGAAAAGTTTGACATACGTGATGGTACGAGTTCAGCCTTCACCACTTGGGTTCTTTAAATCTCCCACTTATCGAGACGTAAGTACCTATTGCTTAGGGGTCTCCCTTTCCCCATGACGGAGTTTGCACTCGGAAAAAATAAACCCAGACTTGCTTGGTTTCGAACCCGGGTCCCCTGACGTGGGAGCCAATAAACCTACCAACCGAGCCACTCCGCAACCACTTCTCCTAAAAAACGTCGCAAAGATGGGCTTTCCTAAACTCGTTTCCCGCACACGTTAATGAAGCGCCTATTTGCCCATGTGTGATTCCATGCCATTCCTAGGATTACAACGGGAGAGGGGCATTCTATGCATACCCCTCGCTCCCTACTAAGGGGGTTCGATACGGACGTTTCCTTAGGGACGTGTGAAACGTCTCCGCGTATTACCACTTAGAGCCCCATCCTTCCTGGCGAAAGGATGACTTCATTGCCGGTATGAGATCTCCGCTCATATACTTATCGGGATTCTGACCCCTTTATCGATCGTAACCCCGTCCTCTTATCCATAGGCACTCACAAGTAGAGTGATTCCCGAGGGTGAAAACGGCGGGATTTCACCTATACAGCACAGGAGCGCTTAATCTTGGGTCGAAAAGACAACGTCGGCGGCATCGTAACCATCCCATTTCTGTATATTCGTATTTTTCACATGTAGTCTTGCATGAAAAGTGATGGAGATGGACTTCAGGGACGATACGCACAGGGTCGCTATCGATCCTGGATACGAGTGCCACTCGTTAAAAATCCCTTTCGTAGGCGTGAATAATCCGTGAATAGGAGACAAAGGGCGACTACGAGGTGCACGGCGGAGGTTTTCCTGTGTCTTGGCAGGGCGTGCTGAAAAAAATTCAGTAGGGCTGCCATAATAATTTCTGCTTCTTTACTCTGCCGATGCGCACTTAACTATTCCAGATTTATAGCCGAGAATGCCCTCAAATTATAGGCTTAAAACAAACCGGCAGTCATGGCGTGAAGATTCCATGAATAAAGCGACTGATACGCTTTCCAAAGGAGATAGTGCACTCAAAGTAGCTGCCAAAACCTGCAGCATGCCCAAATCAACGCGAGTGAATGAAAAAAGAAAATAAACATGCAGTTGGAAGTTGAAAGAGACTGGGACTGCCAACATTCCCCGTTGAATTAGTGCAGAAAATTGTTTACTATATTGCAAACACGGAGAGTATGCTTTATGGACAATGGACTTGTGGTGTTCGTAATCTTGTCTACCAACCTGCTGGAAAAACGGCATGCTTTGGCATGCCGGTTGCATTCCAATTCACCCCAGTGGTGTATCCCATGTTACCAACATTGGGTAAAATGGGAAACTGCTTGAGAAAAATATGTGAGCCCCTTGTTACCCCACCTTCCCCCAACGGAAGTAATGTTTCTATCCCAAACCCAAAGTTCCAAAATGAAGGAACTCTCTTCGGAAATCTCGAGCTTCGATCTTTTCTGCGTGTTGGCTCCAGCTTCACTCTGCA